TGGCACATCAGATGTGAGTAGTGAGAACTTTTGAGAACTTTAATATCATAATTTCTGGCCCAACATTTAGATTTTTGTAGTTTGAATTCTGAGGCTGCTCTCAAAGCATGACTCCTCCTTGGACTTGGAAACTGCCTGCAGAATGAACAGTCAGTCTCTCTGTGCTTTTTGGTTTCTGTTGATAAGTAACCCCAATTTTACAAGCCCAAACCAGAACTAGGATGCTGACAAATGCCTGATCATGTTACCCATTGTTTTTGAATCACAGCCCCACTTGCTGACCACTGGGTCATAGCCAACCACTGAATTTTCCAGTTGTACCTACCATCAGACAACAAATTATGTAAGTATTGTTTCTGCTAGTAACCCATCTCTTTGATCATCAGCTCCTTGCACCTTTACCTTTAAAAACCTTGTTCTATCCGCCCACTTTGAAACATGTCTTTAGTTTATACTGAAGGCTATGTGCCTGATTTGCAAATAATCTATGAATAAAATACTCATTTAAATTTTTTGGAACTTTTGTTAACAGTAGTAAGGAGGAATTAAAGACAGCCCTGAGTTTTGGAGCCTGCATGACAAGGAGACTACCCATGCATACATAAATAGAGGAAAATCAGTTTTAAGAGGAATGTAATGAATTTAATTATTAATTGCTATGTGTGGTGGTTGTATAAATTTTAGCCAGCCAGAAATTCAGAACACTATTCAGAAGAGACTTATTAGGGGAGCTGTGTTGAAACAATAGCTCCTTAAATCTCATGAACAGATGAGAATTTGTTTTGTTGCTCTTGTTTTGTTTTGGTCTGGCTTTTAAGAAGTGAGTGTAAGAGAAAGAAGGCCAAATAAGATGGCACAATTTTGAGGCATACCTACCATTATGGAGTAAAAAATGAGAAAGAAATTAATAAATAGCAAAAGCTCAGTGGGAACATTCAGAGAGATAGGGGAACACATAATATACAGATGATGTATTATAGGACTGTACACCTGAACCCTACATATTTCTATTAACTAAAGTCACCGCATTAAATTAAAAAATAATAAGTACAAGTGCATAAAAAAAGAAGGAAAACTAGGAATGGCAATACAGAAACAAAGTAGGGAGTGACTTTAAAACAGAGAAGAAATAGGGGTGTCAGCTGGTCTATGAGATCAAGTAGGGTGATGATTGGAAGAGGCAATTGGGTCCAACAAACAGTATGCCAAGTTTGGCTTTTGAAATAGTAGTCAGTCTGTCAGAAATCCATTAGAATATTTTTCCAAAAGTTACTCATTTCAAACTGGTTTGGTTACTAAAATTGACTAAGCAGAAATGTTTTCAAGTACTTGATTGTACAGTTCTTTCTAGTCCCAATATATAATCCTTCTTATATCTCAAAAAATATAATTTCCATTAACTGTATTTCTGTTGTGAAACATAAATTCAATATTTTTTTTGCAACAGATCAAGGAAGTTGTTTATATGCTTTGCCAAATATTTACATTTCGTTTTAAATGTTAGCAAATTGCTACCAGAAAATATAAGAAAACCAAATGGATACCTAAAATCAAGATAAAATGTTTCCGACTGAAAGGTAATATGGAGGGCTAAAATTTATCTTGGCATAAATTATATCCTGTGAGTAGAGAGTACTAAAATCGGACTCTCACTCTCTTGTGAAAATTTTAAAATGGCTACATTATCCCCTAAATAGTAACTGTCTGGATGCCTGACCAGAATGTATTCCATCTGGTCCTTGGTTTAGGCAAGTAGAGATGTAAGTTGTAGCAAATTAGAAACATTAAGCCACATAAAAATGTCATTTTGAAACTGTTAGGACATTCTCAGAAAACTGTGATTCAGTGAAATATGATGTGAAAAGCACTCACTCTGCCCTAGGGATAAGGGAGCCATAGCTTCCTGCTCAGGAAGTGCACACAGCAACGGGAGTCCTGTTGCCCTTGACGCTTTGTCTCAGGATGGGATGAGTGATCACCAATTGGGAAGCCATCTCCCTCTCAGCAGATCTGAAGACCTGAGGGTATGAAGGCAAGGTGAGATCCCGTGCAGCCCTTAGCCTGGGCAGGGCTTCCCTGTACTGAAATTCCATTCCACTGACTGCTCCCAAGGGCCAGAGACATGGTTAATGGCAGTAGTCTTTGGAGCTGAATGGGACCTTGAAAAGTCTCAACTATAAAACAAGTTATGTGCATAAGGAGGTGAACTCTCAAATTCTACTGAAAGTTTCAAATACACAACAGATAAAAAGTTTCTTTCTTTTGCTAAAAATAAATGAGCACTTTGCTGTTTCATGATCTCTTCATTGTAATTATCTATGTTTTCAATGGTTTCCTAAAATTAAGTTGGAGGTAAATGAGAATAACCATTGCTCAGATTCTAGTCTAACTTGTTTAAAAATTTAGAAATGAAAGTTGTAAGGCTAAAGGGGTAAAGAAGTTCCATTAATTTTGCTTGTTTCTTTACCCAAACAAGGCAAAGCTTCTTATAACAGAAATACTTGAAGAAAAAAAATTACGGCCAGACCTGCGTGGCTCAATGCGTGACTGGGAGGTCATAGTCTGATTCCCCATCAGTGCACATGCTAGGGTTGTGGGCTTGATCCCTAGCTGGGGGTGTGCAGGAGGCAGCCAATCAGTGATTTTCTCTCATCATTGATTCTATCTCTCTCTCCCTTTCTCAAATCAATTATATATATTTAAAACCTCAGGTTAATCCTCTCTCTCCAGCTGCTCCCAGAAGACAATCCCAGCAAGATGAAAACTAGATTTTCTGAGTAAACCAGAACACTGAGGTCTGGAGATACTCTTCCACCTTTACCCTCCACTTCTCCTATTCCCCACTGGCCATCTTTCTCTGTTAAATCAGAGATAATAATTGGTGATTGGGAGGGTAGGCCAGGAACTGTGCAGGAAGTGGTGAGGAGGTAACTGGCAGGAACACACAATACCCTGTGAGTTGTGTGAAGACATGCAGGCCAAGGAAGACACCATTGTCTTTGGCAGTAGTGTCTGCTGGTAGGCATTCATATATTCCATGAGTTCGCAGGGACAGCTATCAGATGATGGGGGTAGGAGAAGGTGCTATCTCTGCAGAGGTTAGTTGCATCATGTAAATATCTACTAGAAACTGCCTTCTAATTATACAACCACAAATGAGAGTCAACCATCTCCCAAGACAATAGAGAATCCACACACACTGACTTTTGAAGAAATATGGCTAGATCATATTTCTTATAAGAATAAGTAGAGAAAATTAAAATGAGGACTGTGGGGAAAAAAATGTTACCCATCAAGAGGAAGCAAAAAATCATCCCTTTGAACTAGAAGCAGCAATGTCTACAGTTTTGAAGGGAATGATTTAGAATTCACCAATTTTATGCCCAATCAAGTGGTCTTTCTTGTGTAAAGGTGGCATAAAGACATTGTCAGATATATAAGACCCTCCCAAATATATCAAATGTGCACCCTTTAAAAATCTCTTAATAGTAAAAGATAAAGTAAAATTTCAAGATAAAAATGGAGAAAATCTTGATTTTCTGAGAATAAGCATTAAAGTCAGTTCAACATGGAGATTATCCCAAAGAATTAAATATTTTGTTATAACAGAAAATAAATGCCAAATTAATTCTTGAAAGGTAAGGTACTTAATATAAAAATAATGATTTAATGTCAATAATTTGAATTAAATTCTGAAGTCTCACTTTATAAATAAATTGACCCACAGGAAGCCAGTGTTGAAAATTAAGGTTATCATAGCAAATTATTTGGCTTGTAAGGCTTAGCTTTAAATGCTGCTCTGCAAACATAAACACTTATTGTGGGGAAGGCATTGAGAAGCAAGTGTTTGATGGTGTGACCTCTTGTATTGGATGGACCCTGATAAGAACCTTACAGAGTATGTCTGAAGATGCTTTTTCCAATCTTGAAAACACAACAACAAAAATAATTCTTTCATTTTCTTCTAAAAAGAATAATCTAGTTCTGGTTACCATCTGAAGCATAATAATGAGAAACAGAGGCTACATATGGGGCATCAGGAAGGAAATGAGGCACCAGAGACCCACCACATAGTTTTCAGGATCACGGACAGAGGAGCATATGCCACTTGAACTCTGAGAGGAATCAGCTGCAGTGATTGCCTTGCACCATCCTGGGGCAGGCAGAGAACATAACTTGCCATTTTGACTGTGTTTAGGCAGAGAGAAGGCTTGAGAGACTAGTCTCAAAGTTCCTCATTCACAAGGAGGAGGAGTTTCAGAAGGAAGTTCCCATGATTCCCAGAAGAGGTTGGGGTGGTTGAATAAGAAAGTGTCAAAGAAGTTGATAGACCCAAAAGGTCTGGCAGAACAAGGCTGGCACAGATTGCTCAGGCCAAAGACCCCACAATTCAGCAACAGATGCGCCAGTACAGAAGTCAACAGCCAAAGGTCCAGTTGGATGTGGAGCCACAGCCAGGGATCTTGAAAGCTGGGATTGCACAGTTATGCATCCATTTACCCCGTGATTAAGTTACTGATTATCTATTATGTGCTAGGCAGCATTCTAGGCCCCGGCTATAACTATGAGAAAGAAATATAGCTCACATTTGCCCTGGCCGGGTAGCTCAGTTGGTTAGAGGGTAGTCCTGATACTCTAAGGTTTCAGGTTTGATCCCCAGTCAGGGTCCATACAGGAATCAATCAATTAATTCATAAATAAATGGAATAAATCACTCTCTCTCTCTGTCTCTCTTAAATAAATCAATAAAAAATAGCTCACATTTTAGTGAAGACAACTGTCTGTTTCTCTTAATAGGCAAGAAATAAGTAGGTAAAATACCTAAATGCTGTATCAAAATGTTGAGAAGAAAAGTAAAGCATGGAATGGATAGCTTCAACTAAAAATGTAGGTTCACAAACTGCACAGAATGAGATGCTAAAATTCAGAAAACCAGAATAACAGCTAAAGTTGAGGACAAACCACAAACCTGCGACAAGTCATAGACTCTGGATTTTGATTCTGATCTTATAGGGAAAAAATAGATTATCCACAAACCCGTTGTACAAATCGTAGAATGTCTAACTCTTTGAATTGGAAAGGGGTAACAGACTCCTTAAATGTGGAAAGGTTTTCTTCATTCTACTTCTTGAGGGCCCCTATAGTGTTTTGGGAGAGGAATACTGCAATTTACTGATATACTAGGATGTCAGAGAAGACTTCCCTAAGACAAACAAAGATCTAAAAAGTGGGGTGGGAAGGAGCCACATGGTACAGTAGGACAAAAGTATTCCCATTCAAGGGAGAGCAAGGGCAAGAGCCCTATGGGAGGGGCATGCATAGAGGGGAGGGACAGGAGGAAAGGGAAGGATACATAATATAAATGCGGTAAGGCCATGGAAGACTGGCTCTGCAGGCCCTGCAAGGAATTTGGATACACTCTGAATGAGATGGAAAGTTTTTGGAGAGTTTTGAGAACAGGACTCCTCCCTCTACCTAATTCTCTACCTGTGCTAACACTATCCCCTAGAACAGTGTTCGGCAAACTCATTAGTCAACAGAGCCAAATATCAACAGTACTTCTTCAAAATAGACTCACCCAGGCCGAAAACCGACTTCTGCACATGGGCCTCGAAGTTTCAGTCGCACTGTATGTGCACCCGCATGTGGTATTTTGTGGAAGAGCCACACCGAAGGGGCCAAAGAGCCGCATGTGGCTTGCGTGCCGCAGTTTGCCGACCATGGCCCTAGAACAGTGGTTCTCAACCTTGGCTGCACATTAGAATCACCTGGGCCAGGGCCATGGTCGGCAAACTGCGGCACGCAAGCCACATGTGGCTCGCAAGCCGCGGTTCGCCGAGCCGCAGTTTGCCGACCACTGCAAGGGGGTAAATTCCCTTTAGAGGGGAAAATGACTCTAATGAGGAATTTAAACAGGAAATTGACTGAAAGTGCACCTGAAGTTTATCAAGCAAACAGTAATGAGGAATTACTTTTGAAATTGGATGAGACATTGTTATCCTGAAAGTGAAATGAAGGCTTTCTTTCCTTTAAGGATATGTTTCATTAAGAGTTTGAATTCAGTTATGGAGCAAAAGAGAAGCTGCACTTCTGCCTACATGAGACGTGTTTATACATTAAACAATATTTTCTCCTTTACATGGTCAAGAGGCTATAGGAAAGAATTTAATTCAATGGGCACCACTACAATTTAGAAGTAAACATTATGTCATCAAATATTTATTATGTGCCAGTGGGGGCTGAATTACTTTAATAAAGAATGCCAGACCAAGTCCCATTAGGCCTGGCTAAGACTAGAGCATTTACAGGTGGCTTTCTCTCTCTTCCTTTTTATCCCTATCCTAACATGATGCCCGCAGGAAAATGCATTAAGCATAGGTTAACACCAACTCCTTGGGGCAAAGTTTTATTTCCTCATTAGGAAATTCTAAAGATTTTATTTTCTGTGTCGATGACTCTCAGTTTTATTGGGCCAGCATCATGAACATGACCAGAGAACTTTAAAAATATATCCAACCGTGGCTTCCTGGTTCATAGGTTGAAGCTCAACCACTGAGCCATGCCTGATGGCTGGGTGGCTGAAGAACTTTTTAGAAATGCAAATTATAGGTACCCAATCCAGATCAATGGAATCAGAACCTCTGGGTGGGACCCAGCAATCTGTATTTTGTAAGCCCTCCAGGTGATTCTGATGCCTGTTGAAGTTTCAGAACCACTAGTCTAAATGAGAACCTTCTCACAGGTTCCTCAATGCCTCTTTGTGCCATGTTTTGGCTAATTTTTTCAGATCTGTTGTTCAAGTCACAAACTCTTTTGTCAGGTGCATTTTGGGGCTTAAAATGTCCTTTGACTTTTTTTATTCTAATTATATCTTTTTGAAAATACATATATATTTTTATTGATTTCAGAGAAGGAGAGAGAGGGAGAGAGAAACAATGATGAGAGAGAATCATTGGCCGGCTGCCTCCTGCACGCCCCCTACTAAGGATCGAGCCCACAACCTGAGCATATGCCCTTAAACCGGAATTGAACGTGGGACTCTTCAGTCCGCAGGCCGATGCTCTCTCCACTGAGCCAAACCTGCTAGGGCGCAATTATATCTTTTATTTCTAGAAATTTTATTTGGTTATTTTTCAAATCTGCTTAGTCATTTGTTATAGTTCATTATATCCTATACATGTTTGCAAACTTGGCTTTTAGTTCTTGGAAGAGATCAAACATATTTTATAAATTGTGTCTGGTATTTCATTGTTCTTAAAATTCTTGAAAGTCGGTTTCTACTAGTTCTTCCTCATGGTGCCTTGTTTAGTTATTTTTGATGGTGGGCTTCTCAATTGCATTAGGATTTATTATGGAAATTCATTGAGGACTGGCATGATGATGGGTTCTTGCAGAGATTTGCATTTGCTTCTGCCAGATGGTCTTTGGGACACCAACAGTTTGGGATCACTCTAAATTCTCAGCCTGAGGTTTTTGACCACCCATGTGCTGTGTATTTAGGCTTCAAATGCATGTGCAGATTGGCTTGTGGTTATAAATTCTCAACAGTTTTGGTTTTCCCTCTCATTCAGCACCTATGTTTGAGAGGGTTCATTTTTCTTTAAGGCCCATGATTAAGAACACAATTTTCCCAGTTTACTTTTACTTTGAGGGTGTTACCAGTAGGGGTCTCAGTTGTGTGGGAAGGGGAAATTTATCATGGAACTTTGACTTTGTCTCCTCTTATTATTATTATTTTAATCCTCACCCTATTTTTTCCCCATTGATGTTAGAGAGAGTGGAAGGAAGGAAGGGAGGAGGAGAGAGAGAGAGAGAAACATCAATATGAGAGAGACACATAGATTGTTTGCTTCCTGCACCCACCCAACTGGGCTGGGGATCAAACCTGCAACCCAGGTACATGCCCTTGACCGGGAATTCAACCCATGATCTTTCATTGTGTGGGGCTGACATTCTAATCCCTGAGCAACACTGTCCAGGATGACTCTGTCTCCTCTTTTTTTCAATCATGTGAGAACCAAAGTTCATGTTAATTTTGTTCAACACATGATCGCAGAGTAAAATCCAACTTCAGTGGTCCACTGGTTCTCAGTCTTAAGATTAGTTGTTTTTAGTACCAGAAACACAAGTTACATTGGTTTTCATTAAAGTCCATTTATTTTCCTGGTGGGCTCATTCCGTATCTACAGAATTCTACCATCTTACCATATTCATATGATGGTGGAGGCAGACTGAAATGCTGTGGCTGTAAGCCAGGGAGGCCATGGGTTTCTGGCACACCACCAGACGCTAGAGACAGGCAAGGAAGGATTCTCCCCTACAGGGTCCAGAGGGACAATGGCCCTGCTAACATCTGATTTCAGATTCTTGGCTTCCAGAACTGTGCCAATAAGTTTCTGTTATTTTAAGCTTCTCAGTTTACAGTACTATGTTTCCATAGCCCAGCTCCTATTCAGAATAATCCATTTACAGTGAAAGGATCTCCAGGCCAGGTGACTGCCTTACAGACCTTAAAGTTTGTGCCCTCAGGAGAGGAGGGGCAGGAGGAAAAGTCGGTGTTCTCCCGAGCTTAAACCTGCCCTGCGGTTAGGAATGGCCCCTGTGGTGGCGCTCTAGTGTTTGTAACACCCATGGATGTTCCACAAACTGATATTTGAAACACTTTCTGACAAAGACTTAGTATAAGTGGTAAAAATACCTTTATGATGTAATATTATTTCCTTGTAATATTTAATTAAGGGCAATGACATGGAAAATTGTTGCAACTAGAAAACAAGCTGACATTGTGTTGCTTCTTTTCAAGAGTGCCAGAAGCGGAAAACAGCAAGCCAGTATACCTTGGGAGGCGCTCACAAAAGGCTGTGAGTGCTGTATGATTTCCAAATCCTGGATTTCACAAAAGATCCAGGAAAAAAATTTCCTTGGGGCTATGTATATATACAGGGTGACCCATTTAAAATAAATGTATACACACTTTAACAGCTGATAGCTCAATTTTGAAAATGAAATATATTTTAATACGCACTGCCTTTATAATTATTCAAGTGTGCATATAATTTTTGGGGACACTTTATAGTTAAGATATAGCACTGGCAGTATTTACCAGAGACCTGAATTAGATTAGGAGTTAACTAGGTAAAGGTGAAGAGGGAACTCAGGTAAGAAGAAGATTCCAGACAAAGGGGAAAAGCCTGGACCAAGGTTGAATGGATGGGGAGAGCACAGTGCCCTTGATGAACTGAAGGAAGGAGTGTGAAGCATGGAAAACAAAGGGAATGTGGTGCAGCATGAGGCTGAAAGTGGTAGGCAGTGGCTGCCGACATGAGGCTTTGCAGATCACATTAAGGGAAGACTTTAAAGTATTTTAAATGTATGACAGGAGAGGAGGGTTGGTGGATGTTGAAACCAGGGGCTTACTTACACAAAGTACACAGAAAGAGAGCAGCAAGCCTTGGGATCAATCTTGCTTACTATATCTTTTATACCAAATGGGAAAACTGTCACTCAAGAGACTTCATTATTAAAATGTCCATACCCAAAGCAATCTATAGATTCAATGCAATCCCCAATAAAATGCCAATGGCATATTTCACAGACCTAGAACAAACTCTCCAAAAATTCATCTGGAATAAAAAAGACCCCGAATAGCCAGCAATCCTGAGAAAGAAGAACAAAGTTGGAGGGATCACAATACCAAATATCAAGCTATATTACCAAGCCCACGGTTCTCAAAACCACCTGGTACTGGCACAAGAACAGACATATAGACCAAAAGAACAGATCAGAGAACCCAGAAATAGACCGAAGCCATTATGCTCAATTAATATTTGACAAAGGAGGCAAGAACATACAATGGAG